AAAGGTGAGGTGAGTACGGTGTAGTGGTCGAATAAGACATACAGTGGGGTGATGGTACTTTGAAATGAGAAGTCAACTGCCGGTTAATAGAATTTTTTGCCGTATGTTGCCCAGCGGTTTATAGACTTTTTGCCGTATGAGGTCACGTTTCCAAGCCATTTAATAGACTTTTTTGCCGTATGAGTATACATTGCCCAGGGCGTACCACGTGGAGGTAAGTCTATCGCACACCCCACATTGCTATTTCGCACAACGTGGAGGTAAGTCTATCGCACACCCCATTCATTAAATATATCACGGAGGTAAGTCTATCGCACACCCCGTATTTTAGACTTTTTTGTCGCATGAGTATACGTTGCCCAGGGTGTTAGACTTTTTTGCCGTATGAGTATACGTTCCCCAGGGTGCAGTTAATAGAATTTTTTGCCGTATGAGTATACGTTGCCCAGGGTGCAACACGTGGAGGTTAGTCTATCACACACCCCTGTGCTAGAGAAATAGGCTCAGTAAAGTTAATTACCCCCGACTTGATGCATTTATTGTCCATTAGTGGCGTGGATTTAGCTCAGGCGTGGTTATACTGACAAGAAAAACTTGGAAACATAATAACGGTGAATGATATGAGTCATAGAGGTGGCAAAAGAAAACAATCTTTCCCCTCTTCCTTTAGGCAATATAACAGGTTCTTCTGGTGGTCAAATAGATAGAAAGTCGAGCCGGGAGACTGCTGGAGCACCTTCGGCTCAGAGAGAAGTCATCCGGGCACTATTTCAGTCATGGCCGATTTCTTATAGTGTGATTGAGATTCGTTATCTTCATTTGCCGTCTCAACAGGAGCTGCAATAGGATGCACCTTAGGAGGTACAGGTACAACAGAAGACAGCAAAATTGGGTGAAACAGGGACACTAGATGTTTCAGTAACATGAGACAAGTTGGTTCAATTTTGGGGAAATACAATTTTGTGATAAAGTGAATAATCCATTTCTATAAGAGAAATCGAAGACTGCCTTTGGAATTTTGAAAGCATCAGACACAAAATGCAATACTATGAACTTGTCATTCGTTATAGCCATATTATCCTCCCAAATCGCCATAAATATCAGGAACTTATTTATTTATATAAAGTGGCAGGCTTCTTGATAGTTATCATTAGCCCTTTAGTAGACTTCAGTGATCACAGAGGGGGAGGGACATCAAAGTGAAAAAAAAAGTCGAGAAGGGAGACAGAATAATTATGCACAGATGTAAAAGAAACAGACACAAAGGTAGAAAAAGGTGAGGTGAGTACTGTGAAAGTGGTTGAATATGACATACAGTGGGGTGATGGTAGCTTAATGTCAGAAGACAAACGGCCGGTTATTAGACTTTTTAGCCGTATGTGTATACGTTGCCCAGGGTGCACCACGTGGAAGTAAGTCTATCGCACACCCCCTATCAGGAACTAATATTAGTGCATAAAGGCGTCAATTTTGGGCCTTATTCCAAGTTTATGCATGCCAACGACCTGTAACTTCGCACATTTTAACAAATGAGTCCATTTTAATAAAAATTAACAATAAATTATAACTTTTATTCTCTTTGATTAGAGCAGTTTATTTTTATACAAAAAAGACAAGTGAAAGACCAATGAAAATTTCTGTTCTTGAAATATTGAAATAGCAGTCTTAAAAATTAGAAACAGGCCAATTATTTAAATGAATCTTGAAACCAGAACCGATTTAAGCCTTACTTTATACCTCCCATTGATAAGCAGTGACCGAAAACAGTCCGATGACGAATGTTATTCGAATTTTTACATTACATAAATGAGGAAGCAATCGAGACTTTCATTTCACCTTAAAAAATCACTTAGCCCATTGGGGTTGGTATAAGTTTGACGGGTCTTAATAGTTATCAGGTCCAGAAGCTATGACCAATCAGAATAAAGCTTTTTCTTAGTAATTAACTGGCAGTTGACCTCTGACTTCAAACTACCATGACCTCACGGTATGTCATATTCGACCCCTTCACAGTACACATCTAGACTTTTCTCTGCCTTTGTGTCTGTCTGTCTCTTTTACATCTGTTAATCGCTCTTCTTTTCCCCTGTCGAATTCTTCTCACTTTAATGTTCCTCCCTTCTGTGAAGCCCGAAGTCAACTAAAGGGCTTATGATAACTATCAAAATGCCTGCAATTTAAAATAAATGGATCCAGTGACGTGGATCATTTTTTTAAGTTTCATAGGACCTATCAATAACCCATTACAGTACCATTGATCATCGATTTCATCTCTCTTCTCAAGGTTTTAAGATGGTCCCCACAAGTGACAATGGCCTGCTTTGGTTAACTTATGAGCCCATAAGATCTAAAATGTATGAAAACTGATCTCAAACTAGCTTAATAGTTTATAACTCTTTCTATTGATACATTATGGGTAAAAAAGGCAAAATTTGTTAAGATTGACAAGGAATTCTACTTCTTAAATTATCTGATTTATGGAATAAGTAACAGGAAAAATGGGCAAAATTTTAAAAGGCTACTTTTAATTGTAAAGTGACATTAATTTAGACAGCTGGAAACTACCTTAAGCTAGATTACTTTCTAAGGAAATAAGATTGAAATTTTGGAAACTTTTAAGAGTGACAGAACGATTATTTATTCTAATTAATGAACTAATTTCTACTTTAAGAGGGGTGCGAGACCTACCTCCACGTGGTGCACGTTGGGCAACGCGTACTCATTCGGCAAAAAAAGTCTATTAACAGGCAGTTGACTTCTGACATTAAGCTACCATCACCCCACTCTATGTCATTTTCCACTACTTCTACAGTACTCACCTAACATTACGTTTTTCTCTACCTTTGTGTCTGTCTCTTTTACACCTATGAATCATTCTTCTGCCCCCCCCCTTGACTTTCTGCGACTTTGTTGTTGCCCCCCTTTGCGAATCCTGAAGTCAACTAAAGGGCTAAGTATAATTAGCATAAGGGGTGTGCGATAGACTTACCTCCACGTGGTGCACCCTGAGCAACGTATACTCATACGGCAAAAATGTCTATTATTTAGCAGTTGACTTCTGACTTCAAACTACCATGACAACACTGTATTTTATATTCGACCCCTTCCACAGTACTCACCTTTACTTTTTCTCTACCTTTGTGTCTGTCTATCCCTTTTACATCTGTGAATCGCTCTTCTGTTTCTCACCCCTCGACTTTCTGCTACTTTGATGAACCTTCCCTCTGTGAAGCCCGAAGTCAGCTAAATGGCTAATTATAGTTATCAAAACGCCTGCCATTTGAAATAGATAGATAGATAATTAGCATAAAGCCTACCATTTGGTATGAATAAATAAATATATTTCTAATTTAAAGGAAAGGTACTATTTTAAAATTAATTCTTCTGGAAAATAGGTCAAGCGATTTAAATGATTAAGAAGTCGATTAACTTCTAAACATTTTTTAATTAAAATCAATAAAAGTTAGATACTAGGGTAAAGGAAACTACACGAATAAACCCTGACTAAACCACAAATATCTTCTCTGGCAAAATTCTGACAAACAGAACGTATGGTGCTTATAGCGTTAATTACACGTATGACCACTACCGAAACCTGATCCGTCGATTAGTACACGTAGCACAACCTTGAATGAATATTATTCATTGATTAGTTGAGAAGGCTGCAGTAGCACGGCCGCACTTATCCACGTTGCCCGCTCTAAATTATCATCCATAGATTCAAATACAGTTGAATGTTTGCTTTCAAACATCATGATTAACAACTGTAAAAAATTTCCAAGATATTTACCTGATTCATAGGCTTACCATGGGGCACAGTCTTTAATAAAATCAGAGACAATTCTTTATATTAATTTAAAATTTTTCGATTTTATGACAATGTTTATCAAATTTGCCACTGTTTGAGCTCCCAGCGGTTGTAAGAGTTGAGGCCAAACCACGTGAGTGGTAATCAAGTTCGAATTTTCCAGTAATTTAAATATCGTTTTCTAGAAGAAACATGAGAGTAACGTATCATAACCGGAGGATTCCTTTGAAAGCATTCACAGAAGTTTTTTTAATTTGTCCAAAGCTTCAGCATAAAAGGAGTATTCATACATTTTACTTGACAATTCTGGAAAGTTGTTGTAGAATCCATTTACGAACTTCACAATATGTTGACTCCTTGACGCATTCTTGGATATTTGACTTCAGGAAATCTTATAAGGTATTACTGTTCAATCATCCTTTGTCAAAAAGATTTTAGAAATTCGTATTCACGGCCCTGTGGTCTAATTTTAATGTGTTGTTAAGAAGACAATATGCAGAAGTAACTACTTTCTGCTGATACGCGGCAGACAGGTAAATCCATCCTTCCGAATAAAACTCGATTTTAATCAAATCTGTCGAAACAAATGTGCTTTTAATAAATCTAGTCACGAAACTACGAAAAACGATGCCCCTAGTTACTTGTCTTAGGGGTATTTCCAATTTGACAATTGAATGAAACCCCTAGAAGACACCATGGTTAGGAAAATTTTTAGTATTCTGAAGAGTAACTATGTCCCAATAGATTGCCTGCTTTCAGGATCAAGGTTCCTCACCTTATCCCCTCTTGTGCCTCTTCAACTTAAAAAAAAGTAAATTATTTTTCCTTGTGGTTCCTTTGTATAATTCTTCGGAACACACTTCAATGAAATCCAAAAGTTCAGGAGTTTTACGTTAGATTTACTAACTTCAATTGCAGCATCTCACCCGAGCCGTTCTGAGACGAGTACTCGACGCTATATGCCGTCTCCTCACCATTATTTCGTGGTGATCTTGGAAGACGCCGTTGCTTCTTTGCAAATACCCAAAAAGGAACTCCAAAGTCAAAATAGTTTTCTCAACAGAAGTATCAAACTTGGCGAGCACCAACCCAACTAGTGCAATGAAAACTTCACCAAGTGCTTGATTATCAAAAAAGGTTTCAATCAAAACATGGTATGATAATGAAGGAGGAATGGAAACACATAGGTAATTCATAGTAATTGTACACGCAAAGAGAGCCTATCAATAACGTATTGGGGCATACAAAAAACCGGATTAATCTCTTTCAAATTCTTGAAGGCGGATTCCAAGGCCTCCGATCTCTCAGAACTGTTTTTAACCTCCTCAACGTCATCACCGGCTATAGCCTGACCTGAGTTGGCATTCAATCGGGAGAGAAGAGATAGTCCAGCCAGACCGAAAAGAGTGTGGAAGGGATCCGGGTAGTTCCCAGGACGGTCGCTAATACCACCGGTGTCGGTGTCTTGGCTAGCACATATGAATTTGGCCAACTCTGAAGCGTCTATCCACATAAGGCGGCCAAGAATAGTTAACGAGGCAAGTACCCACCTAAAAGAGAGAATACATTATTTTAATGACATTAAACAGGTTCCACTTGATGTTGCTCTAATACAGGTGCTCTCCAATTATTAAAATTTTTCAAGCTTTTGCCTGCTATTAAATTTGAACACACCACCCAGGAAATGCCACTTAACAGGAAACACGGTAATTTTAATTTAAGTAAGTTAACGACAAATTCAGCAGCAGAAACGACTTTAGTTCCAAATGAATCCACGCGTGCAGTGAACATATTATTCAGTTTTTATAAATCACACACGCTTATAATATTGACATTCAGGTTCAGTTACTAAACTGAATATTTATCGTAAAGTCGTAATTGACAGAAAAAATATTGTAATATCCTAGTACTAATAAATGTCTTGCCCCTGACCCTCCACTTAATCATAAGATTACCGAATGAATGTTACACCTAGGTTTGCATAAATACAGTTAATAATACGAATGCTGTTATTTCAGCCATCACCTCATAAGAGAAATAATAGAAACGTGCCATGAAGTAGAATTTACCAGGAATAACAGACATCCGGCATTTTGCCAGGTCGACCATTAAGCCCGCCACTTGGAAGTTGGCGCTCAGCAAGCCACCAGGCAGCCTTACCAATGTCTAAGCGTCTTAGTTGTCCCAGCAACGAGAGCGCACCGATGACGCAGTAGGCCTGTCCAGCATGAGACTCACTTCCGGGGCGAGTGGCAAATCCACCATCAGGATTTTGACAAGCGACGAGAAAGTTCACGGCCATCTGTATATCAATTCCTTCAATGGGTTGAGATATATCGCGAGTACCAGTTGGAATTACACCCAAAAGGCTGAGTGAAGCAATAGCGCAGAAACTGAACCTAGAATCTACTTCACCCCATTTATCACCATTGAAGCTACCGTCCGAATTCTAAATAATGTAAAGACGTCAAAAAAATAACCCACCTGCAAACTAGAAATATACTTGATAACCATCTTGGTATCTATCTGCATGACTTCATCATAAGTCACAAGAATTTGAATAGCACTTAGTGTGTATAAAATATGGGAATCATGATTTGGAGCGGGTGCGAATCCACCATCTGGGTTAAAGCAGGATTTGACAAGATCAACGATTCCATTCTTGTCATACAAATCCAATCTCTTCATTAAATCAAGAGCAGTAAGTGACCAGTAAATTCCGGAAAGCTTTAAGTAATCAAGAGTTGGGTCATCTTTTTTTTCCATTGCTTTCAGAAATGCTATATGCTTCTCAAACATTACATCTTGAGGATACCTTTCTGATAAATTTACGTCCATAATTGGATGAGCCATACTTAGAAATCGATATAAATAGAAATTCGGAATAATATGAAATAAAGGCGAATGTTAGATGTAGTCTTGTGTTGCGAAGAAAACCGAAACTAGGCTAGGCTACTAAGAAAAATATATGGGCCAATGGCGATGTAGAGTATCAACGAAAGGTCATCCTGTCATATGCGGTAATATTAATGAACGCTGGTGCTACCACTTCACCCATCATTTGACTTAACTGTAATAAAATTCATCTACGCTTGATGAGCTAATTACAACATGTAATTAGGTTCGTATGGGCTGAAAATTATTCATTATTAAATCTGCGGAAACTGAAATGTAAAAATTATTAATTAGGGCGAAACTATTAAAAAATCTGAATAATTTTCATAAAATCGTTTCGACCGATTGAAGCCCATACTGAAAGAGTTGCGTTATTACAAGAACCATAGAATCACTGAGAAAATTAAGCCTGTCCAGATAAAGGCATGAATCTTGAAAATACCACCATTTACATTTTTAATTGTGTAAATTAACATGAAATATAATATTACCCCAGTTCCCATGGGTTTGGCTGTTATTACAGCTTTGGGATTAATAAAATAACTCAAACTTTTGGTGTTTCTAAAGTAACGATTTAAGCTTTTATATTCATCCTGAAGAATTCCTTATGATTACATATTATATCGTGGTTATCCGTTGCTATTATAAGTGAGCAGTTCGCAGTATTAATATGACTGATTGAAATTAATTCTCGTCATCGCTTGTGATGAAAGGGCATCTTCATATCTGATACCAATCGTGAGATAAATATGTGCCATAATTTCATGTACTGAAGAGATTTAAGTCGTTACATTTTCCCTTTGCGTGCTTTTTTCGGTTCTGTAAATTTTATTTTCAATTCTATCTAAAACAGACTTGTATCGAAATGGGATTTATTAGTAGAAATGCCGTGCATGTTTAAACGGTGGGATCTAGTTATTTAGGTTCCTTAAATATATTGGTTTTACTGTTACTACTATTTAAAATAAAATTTTTATGTTTACTCTCAGTTCATCGTTTTATTAATGTGCGCGTCAAAAGTTCTTTTAAAGGTCATAAGTGGATTAGGGTCGCCAAAAAGAAAATTCACATCTTATAACAAGATGTAAGATTCAGTCTCTAACAAGTCACAATGAGTTATGCTAATCTGTAGATACTTTTATAGCAAATACATGGTTTTAAATTAGTTAAGGGTAATATATATCAATCTAATATTAATTATAAAATTGTCCAAGTCAAAAGCAGACAAATAATCAACTCAGAAATATTGTGTGTGCTGTCTTTCTTCCACTGAAGATTGGATCTTTCTGTTTAAGTGAATTTAAATGACGCTCCAAGCTCAGGTCCAAGTTCACACTTCGATAAAATTCCTGATTGAATCTGATTCGCGGTTAAACTAAAATGCCCATGCTGAAGCGTGCAATTACATTGGTAGCAAGTCGTTAAATTGAAAGGAATTTTAACTTGGGACTAACCATCGGCTCTCTAATTAAAATGATGGAATGCGGAAAACGTGCTTACTTTTGCCAAGACAATCAATAATTCGTTTTTTACACCTAACGTTGCTGAAAATGTGGCATTGAGCACTAACGATAGTATTAGTGTGAAATACAATGGCAATCTGCAAATCAAACACCAATTCTATCCCCAAATTAGGGTAGACCCAATAGAATCATTGATGAGCATTTGGTGGAATGTATGCTGCACAATCCATTACAAATTGCCAAAAATGGCCAACAGTTATAAACGAAGCGCATAGTTACCAACATTCCGCAGGCACAAAATGGAAAAAACCTTAAAGTTTATCTTACAGAAAACTTATAATTCTTCAAAATAAAATCGCTCCATCGGAATCACAGTGCAAAAATTGATTTCCTAAAAAATCTAGGAATTAAATTGGGAGATTCTGCCACATATCGCACACACCTATGATTCGTCAGACCTCAATTCATCCTAATATAACCGTCTAATTTTCGGATCCAAGGAGATTACAGTAGAGAAGGACGATTTTGAAATGTGATTGAATTCAAAAATAGCTCAAATGAGTAGTCACCTTATAAACAGAAATTTATTCAACGTGGAGATAGTTATCTACAAGAGCAATAGTGTAAGTTGTAAATTATGGCAGAAATAGCATTATATAGTATCGTATATATAGAATAAAATTAAGAAAGTTTATTCATTTTTCTTCCTAAATGAATAAGTTTCCATTGGTTTCTCTAAAATATTTATACGTTAAGGCATTATTTCGTAACAGCTTTAACATTAGGTTTTCCAAATACTTAACTTGAATTGTTGAAATAATGCAATATAATAAGTAAATCTACTTTAATACAGGTTAAGCGATAGTTATGGTTCTTTGCTTTTTCAATTGGTTGTCGCAGAATGCTTCACCGCATGTCTCACATTTTCAAGCAATACGCATATGAAAAATTAGATAAGGAAAGCTTTAAAACTCAAAAGGATAACTTTTAATATTTAAATTTATTAAAAAATGTTTATCATTTAATTGCAATAGAAAGTACATTGGCATTTAAGAAAATATGAATTTGACCATACTGAAACGCTTAAACACCTTAAAAATTATTCAAGGTCGTCAAACTTCAATGACTACCTCAAGGCTGTACTCAGTTCTTTCAATTATTTTATATATTCTACTATTTTATTCCATTTTTGATGTCTATTATACATCACCATTAGTTCATCGTGGAACTTATGACCGTCCATCAGTCCCAGGCCTAGTAAAAACTGTTGTCTTTATCGTCGCAGATGGTCTTCGATATGACAAGTTGTTTACTGAAGAAATGGAAGACACGCCCACATTGAGGTCTTTACTAACTGCATTTAATTTATCTTGAAAAGATTTACATTGAATTTATATTTTAAACTGTCATGCCTAAAATTAACCCAACCTACATTATTTCCCTATAAAATAATCACATTTTGGCTTTTTTTGAAATTTTATCGGTTTGCTATTTCTATGCTTTTAGAAAACTTATGAGAACTGAAGGTTTATGGGGATTTTCGCACACACGAGTGCCCACCGAATCTCGTCCTGGTCATGTCGCAATGTTTGCTGGATTTTATGAAGATGTTGCATCGATTACTAAAGGTATTTTTTCATATTTCACTAAATTTCATTAAATCAATGTTGCGAAAAATAACCTATAAATATTTAGGTTGGCAAGCTAATGCTGTAGAGTTTGACTCCATATTCAATCGTTCCTACCGAGCTTTTGCTTGGGGCGGTCCCGATGTTGTTCCAATGCTTCAGCCAATTAATCGGGCGGGTGATGAGCGTGTGAAAATTGAGAACTATCCACACGAAATGCTCGATTTCACTGCTGAAAACATTACTCAAGTGGACGATTGGGTTGTGGATAAATTTGCTGTAAGTTATCATGTCTTGATTACACCTGATATGACTCTTGCCATATTTTGCTTTACATAATTTTTATTGTTTATTTATGAGTTATTTAGTTTTTCACAATTCTTCTTGTAGAATTGTATTTTTTGGTTTTAATGCGTTTTCTGGGGTTCAAGTCTAATTATTGTCGCCTACACATTTTGCATTTAATTAACTAAAATCACAATTTTAGATGTTGTAGATTGAGTTAGAGGTCAAAATTCTGACATTTCAGTCTCCACATCTATATGTTTTTCAGTAGCTTAATTAGGAACCACCATCACCCTTCTTGAGATTTTTACATTGATTATTTCAGATGTGCAATACTTTTAAAACTTTCGGATGAGAAATTACTTCAAAAACAATAATTTTAGCATATAAATTAATTTTTATTCTTTTGATTGCCGAAGAAAGCATATGCTTGTAAATCCATAAGGCATTATTAAAACGGAGTGATTGCTAGGTAAATATTAGGAGTTACCTATTATTTAAGTAAATTTAATGTATCCGTTTCATTTTTTAACCTTTGAATTTACATATCTACTAAAATTCCTATAGATAGTAATTATTTTTTGGCTAACGCTCTCAAGACATACAGGGTTTTAGGAATAAATTCTGCACTATAAAATTTGATTATTATTTCAAAATGTGTTAAAGGGATTATTCATTCATGTGTGTTGCCAGCGTGAAAGGATGCCTGTAACCCACCCGAATCAATACGTTTCGTGCTGGTTATGATTGTTGTTAAGTGTCAAGTGAAATTGTGCAAGCAATCCGGTTTGATCGGTCAACTTCTTTCACCAAAGTGCCTCAAAAAATCGTCGTCTGAAAAAATGAGCGAAAAGACTTCTGAACAAAACGTAATGTCCTACTGAATCACCAGCAGTAGGATTCTTTTCCGATGTGAAGAACTTTTGCCGATATCATAAGCATATTATGGAATAATGGATGGTTTTATTTGCGTGGAGTTCGCGTACATTTCCTGAGTCATTTTGGTTAGATTGTGCCAAATTGTTGTGCCTTTTGGATACAAGCTTTAGTTGGACTTAGATATCTAAGCAAAATTGCCGATGGCTGTAGAAGCTAAACCTATAATAGGGCCTGCCATCAGCAGGAAGGGAAAATTGATCGTCAGTCGTCTTTCACGACTACGCCAGTCCTAATGTTCGACCTCCGAACTCCCCTTTCTCAGATCTTAGCCTGATTTATTACTTTGAATGCTGTGCTTGCTGTCGAGAAAGCCGACCAGTTAATGAACAGAATGAAATCGATTTTTTACACCCTTTCCAGAGACCGTGTAAAATCAGCTTACTCCAAGTTCCAGGACAGGTCCAGGACAGATCCAGGTCTGGAACGATGATGTAATAGAAGCTGATGGCGGTTACTTTGAGTAAAAATCTTACCAAAAATATCTGTCAAAGCATTGCTTGTTACTTTATGAGTCTGTCATTTACTTATTACTTACTCATGTAGTTTACATAACTGTAGTTACGAATCCTCGAACGTATTTCCCTTCTTTAATTGATTCTCTAAAACGAATCCTCTAATTTTACCAGACTCCAAATCTTTACCTCACGGGAAGAATGCGTTAATGAGCTACCTATTGATGAATCTCTGTATTTCTAAATAACTCTAAGGACCTGCCTAATTTATCGGAAAACTGGCTCATTTTTTAACTCCTTGTTTTTAATGTCTTTATACTTCACGCTTTCTTGGATTTCATTTCTTTATTTTTGGTTTTGTTATCTTTTTTCTTTATGCTTTTCTGGTGAGTTAGTTCCCCCACGTATTAGTTAGAGTTTCATTTCAGTGTTTCCAAATGTTTCTCAATCTTCTCTTCTATCTAACATTTCCTAAATTTCAGGAATTCATGATGACCAGTTCCCACCTCCTTCTCAGAACAGGCGCAGAATCAGAGGATGCGAATGACGATTTTCGAAAAGGTAATTTTCTCTTCCTTCACTTGAGCGCCGCCGACCAGATGGGTCACACAAAAAAGCCCGGATCGAAGGAGTACCTCAGTATGGTTCGTCATCTTGACCAAAATATTGCCCGAATTCTCGACATCTTTGCAAAACATCCCGAAATAAGTCAAGATGCTGCGTTTATTTTTACTGCGGATCATGGAATGACAGATTGGGGTACGCATTTAACGCTTCTCTATCTTAATACGTTTTTTAAGTGTGCAAAGATATCTGTCAACTTTTTACTGGCATTGAAATTTTCAGCTATTTACCAAACTTGGATTTCTTATCCTTTGAGATATTAAATGGCCTTGACATGTCATTGCAGTAAATCCAACCCCCCCCCCCCGCCCTCTTCTTCCTCCTCTCCTAATGATTGTCGTTTGACACAGAAGACCAGCCCTAATGAGCTTGCTTATAAGACAGAAATATTAATCAGGATCGATCAAAACCATCAAATTATCAAAAATCTGATTTTAGACTACAAAGCTGAAAGATGCAAATGAGTAATATGTTTTTCCTGATTATCATTTATGGAGCAATTGGTAACGACATTTGTACTTCCTGATTTCTGTGGGACATGATTGACTTCTCTTTCAATTTGCCTGCTAAATTTTTCCCCAACGATTGAAGATGACACCCGATGCATGAAGGCTTCGTTTATTTTGATGTGCGAAGTGTTGAGCTATTTTCATCAATCGAGACATTTTTGCTTTCTGGTAGCACTCGTACGGAACTTTAAGTTAATGATTTAGCACTTTTCCTACACGTTTTTTTTCTAGTATTAAGTATGTTACTTAATATGAAACCATATAGGTCTTTCATTTTTCCTAAAAGTGATACACCAACCAAATTGCTCTAAGATAGATTTCACTTGATTTTTTTGAAGGGATAATTGCTTCCTCTGTTTTTAGGTAGTCATGGTGCCGGCTCTGCACACGAAACTATCACGCCCCTAATAGCTTGGGGAAAGCACATTCCTCGTCCTGCTCCACTATTTAAACTCTCCGATCTATCTCCAACTACAAAAAGCTCTTCTCGAATTGATATTCGGCAGGCTGATCTCTGTCCCCTGATAGCATGTCTTCTCGGTATTCCAATTCCCGCTCATTCGATTGTGAGTTCACTGGTGTTATTGCTGATTTGTTTTTTTGTCTTTAGGGCGAGCTACCGCTCGAATTTCTCGACCTTGATCCCTCTCTCAAGGTCGGACTAATTCGGGAAAATGCCCTACATGCACTCAAACAACTGCATGTAATTTCCTTGTTTTCCCTTATGAAATTATCTTCAGATCAAATATGAGGAACGAAAGGCTAGTCATTATCACTTGTTCTTCCGTGAATTTAGGTAATTGTAATTACATTCTATTATTCACCGTCTTTTAGTAAATTCTCAAAAAACACCATTCAAAGCATGTTAGAGAAGGCCGCGTTGCAGACATCAAACCAAAACTACAATTCAGCCGTATGTATTAATAGCGATTTTTAATTAATTACTCTTTTAGATTCAAACATATCGGCGAATAATTGAACTCGGTTTAGAAGGACTTACGTACTACCATAAATACGATCGATTCTTCATGGGGTTAGTTGATTGATTCTCACGTTTAATTATATCTAACCGGTGTAAATAAAAACTGGTCTTTTTTAATGGAAATCCATCCTGGTTTAAAAATGTTTCACCTTAAATACTTCTTGATACAAATGATCAAATAAAAAAGAATTGGGCCTGGCCGATTCTTGATGTTTCAAACTAGTGCATATGTGGGAATTTGCGTTATCGAACAATTTGTGTACTACTGTAAACGCATTTGCTTTAATTAGTGTGTCTATTATGAGTTCTTTTGCATATCCTAAATGGCAAAATATGAATGATCTAACTATCGATTATCAATGACCTTTGAACACTTTTGTAAATTTTGCTTAAATGTGCTGAAGCGCAAGAGGCGTTTGAGTCAGGTTCCAGATCACTGTTATTTACAAAGGTTGCCGAAGCTCAGTGCCCAATTGTTTGTCACCTGCCAGTTAATTAAGATTTTTAACTTCGTGATTCTTATATCTAAATACCTCCTAATTGTAATTGTTTGGCATATGGATAAATATCCTTATTAATCAGTTGCCGAGGTGTTTTGTGCTGCAAAATGACTCCAGTCATTTGGCATTTTGATGTCAATTAGTGATAAGCTTCCCAAGTTCCTGCTAATCTGCCCGCTAATTCAAACACCATTGTTGAAGGAATAAATTTGTTTAAATTACAAGGTGAGGGACCATAATCTGCAAAAAGGGTGAGTTTGCCAATAAAAAAAGGAATTTAACAATTCACGTTGACCCACTCACCCTAAACTATTAACTATCGTTTCTATTAGTAGTAAAATGTATGCTTACTCGGAACCTTCTTTCTACTTAATTGCAAAATGCTAAAAGTTGACTAATTCCTAATACATTTTTCTTGTTCTCTTATATCTTCCCAAAATTGCCTTGGTATTGGTTAATGCATAAATTATAAGTTCATTAAAAGTGGAGTTCAAATCACTTTTTATTGACTTGGTTGAAATAATAAGTGTTTATTAAACCAATGTTTATTTATTTATTTATAACAAATGGCAGGCGTTTTGATAGTTATCATTAGCCCTTTAGTTGACTTCAAGCTTCACAAAGGGGAGGAGGAACATCAAAGTGAGAAGAATTCGGGAGGGGGAATAGAAGAGTGATTCATAGATTCATAGACAGACAGACACAAAGGCTCAGAAAGGGTAAGATGAGTACTGTGGTAGGGGTCGAATATGACATACAGTGGGGGTGATGGATGTTTGAAGTGAGAGGTCAACTGCCGTTAAATAGACTTTTTTGCCTTATGATTATACGTTGCCCAGGGTGCACCGCGAGGAGGTAAGTCTGTC